AGAAGAGAATAAAGAAAGTAAAAGTTTTATATTTCATTAAATGGTCATCAGGAAGTGTAAACAAAATGTTTATAATTCAGGAGGAACCAGCCTCCCAACAGAGTGACTGCACAACATTTCAAATTGCCCTCTATGACAACTTTCACTTTTAATACGTGTGCAGAGAAAACGAGGGCTATTGCATTCTGTCACCGTGCCTGGAGGGACGCTCACTTCCTTTCAAAACAGCTTCTCAGCCCTGTTCAGTTTTCTGAGAGAAAAGTTCCAATGTGGATCATCATTTATTCTCAATGAACACATTGTACATCTGTGTGAGTTTTTTATTAGTTTGGGTATTTTAGATTGTGAAAAGCTTTTTTGAGAAAAAAAGACTGGTGCATGAAATTCATAGTTAAATAATGTATCAGGATGCTCCAGAAATGTGCTAGAATGACAAGTCCTTTCAGTCACATCATGTTAAAAGCTATAGAAAAATACGGCTTTATTACAGTAATGATATGGCTGGTCAGATTATGAGCAACAGATAGTCCATAAACCAAGTGAGATAAATGCTGTGAATTTCATCCACACAAAGATGTACATTTTAAAACGTGTGCAGTGGCTTGTTTTGGAATTCTAACTTTATTTTAATGTTTTAATCCCTAACAGCCATATACTTAGGTTTTTCTGTTTGCTCTTTTCCACTGTGGGTGGAAAAGAGAGGCCGCAGTCAGTGCTGTGGAGCTGTGGCTCAGTGGATTCCAAATGCAGTCCTTACCAAAACTGGTCCTTGGAGCCCTGACCAGCAAAGGCATAGTCACACCCCTAACACTGCACACTGGGACAGTTTCCATTGACTTCAAGTACAATAAATGAGAATGAAAAGAAGTTGCAAGTATTTGCTAGAGTACTCAGCAATCAGCACTATCATGGAGCCTCTCCTAGGACAGCAGAGCTACACGGCTCTTCCACAGCACTTAACACAGAGTTCAAATTTTGGGTGCCAAATCTGTTTCACAAAACATGGTTTTGTGATTACTGCCCTAAATGTCTGGGTCAGATATTTATTGCAAAATCTGCATAATTTCAGGCCTGTTTAACATGTTTTCTCTCAGACTCAGTAAGTTCATTATTTCTCTCAGACTCAGCGGTTTGGTGTTGGTGTGCTGCTTAGCTATGGCAAAATCCCAGTAATTTTTTTAAAACTCACTATTGCTTTATGATAGATTTTGAAGCGTGTCTTACCTGTCTGTTTTGGATATTATGATGATATCTGCTTGTTATTTGTCTGGCTGGTTCAGTGTTGCAGGCCTGATTTCAAGAAGAATTTTTAAAAACCTGACAGGGATGGATTCTGAGGTACTACTCATATAAGATGGCATTGCCTCAAAGGCTCACAAAAGCATCCTGTTCCACCCAAAAGGAACAGGCAAGATCCTACAGAAAATTATTTCTTAGGAGTTACATTTTCTTCCCCCACAACACTGAGTGTTTTTTTCAGGCACTTTGAAAGGCCCATTGTAATAAATTGATTGAGTTTGAAAGCTTGTCCAGTTTCACTATAACATCTCTAAGTGATTCTGTTTTGTCTTAAAATGTTGTTTATTACTTCCAGCTCTACTATATGTTCCTCTCTGAATTTCAGGAGTAGCTGTTGTCTTTGTTCCAGAAGCAAGAGGTGGGGATGCTTGGTAGTATTCCAAGGGAAATGGCTGATCTTTCTGCAGACTTTCAATTTACTGTTCAGAAAAATTAAATAAAATATTTTGTTCTGGAGCAGATTAACAAAAGCAAACAAAAAAGAAGAACAAATTTGCTGACATGCCTTAAAGCATCTCTGGAAACCATTAATGAAAACATTGGAAGAACAAAAAAGTTGGTTTAGATTGAATCAAAAAATGGGATAAGGATGGAAAAGGTGACTCCAAAAGTTTGGTTAGACCCAAAATAGAAAATTTATTTTCCTTTTCCGATCTTGTAATAATTTTCTATAAGATTTTTAATTTGTATCAATTTTGAGATTAAACTTATTTTCAAGTAAATTAAGCTTTAAAATGTACCAAAAATATTTTGCAGTGTTTTCCAACTGAAACATTCTAATCCAAATATGTTAATTCAGGTTTATTGTCCTGTTTTATTCAATTTATTCACCAATTTTTTTTTTTTTTTTTTTTGTGCTTAGGGGGAGTTTTTTTATTTTGGTTTTAGAGCTGGGTTTTTTGTGTGTCCTTAAATGACATTTTTGAGAAACTGCTTTGTTTGTTTGTTTGCTTTCTTGTTTGTTTGCCTGTTTGAGCAGTTCAGAATCTGTCAAATTTTGGTAGTTCAAGCAAATCTCATCAAGCAGCAGGAGAGAAATACCATTCAAGTTATAACAAGACTAGGATGTTTTCCACAAATTTAGTAATAAAGCATTCTTTTTCTCCTAGATCTTTGAGATATTTACATCTCTGGATATGCCTGAACTATTTCCTCAGGAGAAGGAAAATAGGGTGCTCTGTGGCTAATCATAATTTGTTTAATACTCATGAGATGTTTGGGTTGCCACTTCTCTCCTTTTCTTTGTTGGCTGCCAAGCTTTCCTTCTGTTTTTCTCAGGTAGGTTAGGGCAGGAAGATGCTGCACTTCTCAAAGATCAGAAGTCCTGCTGCCTGGGGCCAGATGTTAATAAAATATTCCTTTCATTTCTTGTTTTTCCTCCAGTTTCTTCTTCCCCCAGCACAGCAGATGAGAGCGAGTCCCTTTTCCCCTTATGTTCAGCTGTATGTCATCTTGAATTTAGTCTGAGATTTCACTCAATTTGACTCTGAGGGAAGCAGATCCTGAGGCAAATATTTTCCTTTCCTTATTTCAGACACTTTGCCTGCAAACTAATTGTGTAGATTGAAGTTAGTTCATTTGTTATGTTTGCTTTTGGCAACACAACAATATAGACAAGAACCTGAAATTCACTGTTCTGAAAAAAGTAATTTTTCCTCTGTGTGAACTGTTTTAAAAGTTCCCAAAACACATGCTTTTGCTTTGCTTTTGGACTCAATAACACTAAGTGAATAGTATTAAATTCTCCTCTTAGTTGAAATATCTTATTCTCACTAATACTAATGAGTAAATACTTAAACTTGCTATAAGTATTCTCCGGCAGCAGTAAATTAAAAGCCTAAATAGAAACTGTACAAAGGTGTTAAACTCAAGCCTGCAGGTGAATTGAAATAGAAATCACATTGAAATTAGTTTTGATGGTGAAACAGTAAAACTTTGTGAATATTTTCAGTAGCCATAATTGCATTATAATTTAGTACATCCTTTCTCACATATATTCCAGTTTTTTCACTCCATCTGCCTCTTCTACTCTCAGCTGCTACCATGATAGCCCCTCAGGACAGCATAATCTTGTTAGCTGCAATGCCATAATCTGCTGCTAGGATGAGAGTGGAAGTCAAAAAAAAAAAAAAAGAGAATACTGCACATATTAAAATATTTCCCCTTTTCTTCCTCAGACTGGAGGCTTAGAGAAATTAAGAAAAATCACCCTATTGTCTATAAACTATTCTATTACAGTTATCTAACCATTATTCTTTATTTTTCTTAATAAAAAACCTTCTCAGTTGCATTTAACTGCAAAGCTGACGGTTCTTGCCAGCTGGAAAAAATCCTTTGCTGGAGAGGAGATCTCCCACCCAGTTTATTGCTGCAGCACAAGGAACCTGTTTCACACTGATGTAGAATTTCAGACAATGTATAATGGCTCTCTTAGAAGCTCATGCATGCACACTACATGCTCCAAAATAGGCTTTCCTTATGCTGGAGAGAAGACAAACACACTGGCATAAATGAACTGTAGCATTTTGTGACAATGCATCCCTTCCCAATCCAACAGCTGGAAGCAGAAAGGTTGACTGAAGATGAAAGGGGATCCCTCCAGCACGGGTTCCAGCATCCTTGGGAACCAGATGGACTGAATGGAAAACACAACTAAAATAGGCCACAAAATGCACTGCCAGGAGAGATTTTCTTTTTGTTCATAGCAGTGCCAGGTTTTACTAGAAAGAAACTTTCCATGTCATAGGAACAAAATATAGGAAGCAACTGGAACCACCTATGTCCTCTCCCATCCAGAGCAGCACTTTTCCAGGCACATTTTCTAATCCTGGTATAGTCTGATTTGAAAGACTCGTGAAATAAAGTAGTTTGTCTGCCATTTTTAGTTTATTTCACTGCAGCGGTTTTAGGAGAGTTTTTCTTAAGCATTCAGACTACATTTCCTTTCTTTTTCTCATTACTTTTAGTTTTATCAACTTGGACTCCTGAGGCAGCTTTTCCCTGTGCCTGCTTTTTGTCATTTCGTATTCTTCTGTGTAGCTGGTATGGTTCTCTACAGTTGCCGTGATATTCTTTTGTAAGGCCTCTTGTTAAATGTCATTTGCAGATGTCATTACTGTTCTGTTTACTTCCTCCCTCCACTAATGAAGATATGAAACAACACAGAACCCATTATTGATTTTACTAGGTGGTTTCTGTCAGCCTGCTGTTTATCAGTACTCCTTCTTTGTGGTCCTTCAGTCTGCATTCATTCCCCATGACAGCACTATTATCTGAGCCTTTCCCAATTCATTTCTCACGCAGATTTTTCTAAGACACTGTAGGAAAGGTTTTCCTGGGGTTTCAATCCAGCTTCATTGTTTCCGCTGTTCTCCCTTCTCGTACACTAGGAATTCTGGCCAGCCAAAAAGGAACTGAGGAATACAATGAATGCTGAGGTATCTTTCTTCCAATTTAAAATTTCCAGTTTGAGGATCCTGTTCTGTGCACACTTGGTGCCTCAATGGCAGGCCTTCTCAAGGTCTAGGTTGCAACCAGCATTGATAATTTGTTCCTCAGAGAAGTTTCAAGGGTTGCAGTCAGGTGTGTCAGGTAACTTTATGTTGTGTTTTAGCTGGTGCATCAGCACATGGGCAGGGTGGGCCTTGGCTGGCACATGACACCATGGGTTCCCTTTATCTCTGCCCCGTGTTTCCCTTCAGGGGTGATCTTGCTGCTCCTCGATAAATTGCGGAAGATGAAGTGGGAGCAGATGTGGAGACTGACGGCGGAGCGGGAGCTGATGAGCATGCTGTCCACTTCGCTGGCTGACCAGGTGAGCGGGACACTGCAGGACTGGGGCACAGCCACTGAGCCATGGGTTGAGGAAGGAAAGAAAGGGAGAGGGGATGAGATGTGGGGAAAGGCAAGGGAAAGCTGTTGTGCCTGTAGTCACCATCTGTTGAATCATTCTGGGCAAAATGTGGAAGAGAATGGAGATTTAGTCACAAGGTTTGGTTCCTCTTACTACACTGACCTTTTTACCTCCTCTGCTCAGATGATTCATAAGAAGGACAAAAGGGGGTTTTAAGCTTTCTTTTTCTGTCCTCCCTTCTTTAACACAGAACCCTCCAGGCACCAGAAGTCCAAATAAACTGTGTCTTTTCCCACTGGTTATTGTCTAATCAGATTTTAGTTTTAAGAGTCTCCTGAGATTTCTTTACTGTTTCTGGCAGATGAGTCCCAGATGTCTTTTAATGTACTCCTTGCCACAACAGCCCTGTAAAGACAAAAGTGCTGCTGTCTCCCTGCCACAGATAGGAGGCTGAGGCCTGGAGAAGAAACAGTGTGCCTAAACATAGAAATACAGTTTTTCAATTTGTGCTTCTTGTCAACTCTCAATTTAGATCCAGAAACAGGATGTAATACTAGACTTGAACCAATTATTCTTGCTCATCAGCTTGAACATGTTAACTCAGTACAGCATCATATTTAGATATTTGTTCTCCTTCTGAGCTACCTCTGGCTGCTGACCAGTCACCACAAAGGAAGCATGCTCTCGTGGAGATGTGCACTCTGTACAGCATCTTTGCAGGGTGATCCTGAGGTTCATTTAAAAGATTCTTGCAATTTCACTGTGTTTTCAGTCAGGTCCTGAGTTGCTGTCTAATACCTGCATGTGACGGAATTTTGCAGAACAGAGAAGGGTTGCTTGAGTCTTCCCTTAATACCTTACCCTCAGATTGTCCTTTTAACTTCTCCAACAGAATGACTGCTTATGGCAAGACTTTCTGTCCCTCATGGTGTAGGCTGCTCTGCAACCTGTCCTCCATGCCTTCTCCATAAAGTACCTGTGGTACTTGTTGCAACAATAAAGTTCTACCTAAAGTCATGTCTACTAATTCACCTTGAAGCAACATAGCTGCCAGATTCACTTTCCTGGCCTTTGTTAAAAAGTGGTGCAGTATTCAGTGCCAGCAGCACTGTGTCTTTACTGCCTGTTACTCTCCCTGGTGACTAGAACAGCAGCCACACCTCATGCCAGCAGTACAAGATGAATGTTAGAAAACTTTGCTGGAGTGCCTTAGCTCTGTGTGTCAGGAGAGCTTTTTCCTCTTGTGTGGATCTATACATCACCCCTTAGATTAACAGCGCCCTCCAAGGCAACAGAATTATGGAGAAAGGTTTACAGACTTCAACTTTCACCCCCATGGAATTTCTGCCTGTGAGGAGAGAAGGAGAGTCAGCTGGGGGAGGAGTTGAGATCACCTCACACAGTAGAAACAACATACCCAAATGTTTCTCTGGTTTTTTTTTCTGCTAGGATATCTTCAATGCAGTCATCAAACAAAATCCCTTCCTTGTCTACCAGCTCCCATGTTTCTGGAATGTGCAGCTTTCTGATCACACCCGTTCTGAGCAGTGCTACAGAGATGTGTCTGACCTGAAGGTATGTTGCACAGGAGGTATCCTCTGGGACAGAGAATGAAGGACTGCTGCCAGAGAAAGATGAACTGCCTTAAGTAGGAGGGAAACTAACACATACGGTTTATATAGACACCGAAACGGGGAAAGGAAGTGTGACTTTGGTTTTGTGCATTCTGACTACTATTAGAAAATTCAAATATAGATGCTGCTTTGGGGTTTGGCAAGGTGTTAAAGAAGTGCTTTGCCTTCTTACATTTTGCACCTGCCATCTCTGCCAGTGCAGCTTACTACTGAATACTTATTGCTTTCCCAGGTCTTAGATCTTCCTAGACAAAGAATACAAAACCTTTCCTTTTTGTACTGGACAAGCTTGAAACTCTTTGCTGAACACCATTTAACAGAGTGAAATTCAGAGAGGATTGGGCAGACCCTAGCTAGAAATGCATTAGGAGAAATGTAAAGACCTTACCCACTTCATATTTAGCCTTTGCACATACTTTACCTAGTCATGTTGCCACTCATTTTTCCATGTTTTGTCCTGAAAAAAAGAAGACTGATTAAAAACCTATTGATTTAAGTAAATGAAGCTATAGTGTGATTTTATTAGCACATTTTTCACTATTAACAAGTAGAGTATTAAAGCAGGATGAATTTTAATAGATATGGGTAAGTGAATGGTAAGTATCAATTGTGTCCTGGCCATTTTGAAAGACTGAACTCAGAGATTCAAATGTAGCATGCAGAGTTCAGAATTGAAGCTTGATTGAGCTTTGTCCAGGTGTAGAGTAAGATTGTGCAGCAGTAGATTCCATCAGAGCAGACTGGTGGCATCAGAACATAGTAAATATTAGGTAGTTTTCAGTGACTGATTTTAGAATTCAGTTAAGGTTTGCATATTTGGACTCAAGTTATGAGAATGAAAATGAGGTTTAAAAAAAAACCAAAGGCACAAAACTATGGAAGAGGTTGCAAGGGCTCTCTGGAGACTATCCAAACCCCACTTAATGCAGGACCAACATAGATAGACCCAGCTGCTCAGCACCTTGTACAGATGAATGTCGAGTCTCCAAACACCGAGGTTTCACATGCTCCCTGGGCCCCATGTTGCAGAGTTTGGCCACCCTCTTTGTACAGCATATATCCTAAATCTAACAAAGTTTTCCCTTGTAGCAATTTGTAGAGTAAGAGCAGGAGTGTTCAATATGAACACCAGATGCAGGATGAATATAGAAAATCAATCACTCTCAACACACTTGCAAAAGATGTGCTTCCAAGAGACAAAAGTTCTACATGGGTTAAATGACCTGTCAAAACAGGCCATCATTGATTGAATTTCATATATAAATTATTCACAACTGTCTATTCAGGTGTGATCCTTAAAGGACAGCTTTTAAAGTTAGATCACTGTACTTTCAGTACACTTAGTCACTAAATCGTTTATAATACCTGTTTGTAGGGCAGGATCAACAGAGGCACTTTAAAAGCATCATGGTTTTATGCCTTGAAATAAAGTACTGATAGAGATTTTAGTACTGCATTCATGTTGAGAATCATGTTTGACAGTGATTGCAGGGCCTGAAACAAAAAGAAAGATGTGTAACAGGGAAAATGTTTCCTAAAATATGTACTTCGGAAAAATACACCTCCCACCTGTGACATATCACAGTATTTTGGTGTGAATTAGATGCTGAGATTAATTTATGTTATTGAGACACTCAGATTGGACTCAGCACAAGGTAAAGACACAACCATTTACATGAGGAAAAGATACTGAAGCTGGTAACAAGGATCAAGGGTTTGGTTCCATTGCCTAAACATGTTTTGAGTCACCATAGGGACTCTGCAGTATCCATGTAGGAGTGGCAGATAAAACACAGATCTACAGGAGATATCCTCTTGGCAAGGCAGCTGATGGGCAGGCAGGATAACTGTAAGGTGCTTTCAGGGATTGAGATGTACACCTTGCTGTACATCTGGATGTAGGCAGCCAAAGTGTCATCTTTATGAGTGGATTTGGAGGCTGGAGCTCACCTCAGAGCAGATGTCTGATCTTCTGAGTCCAGTGACTGTGTTAACTCATCTGCTTCAGGTGTGGGACATCTAACTCATATGTAACACCTACAAGTAAGCATTTGACAGTATTTTAAAAACAAATTAAATCCTTTCTTTCTTGTCAATTAACAAATTTATCTTTACAGCTGTAATTCAGGCTTGGTCATTGTTGCTGTATATCGTGTCACACTGTCAGTTCCATTACAGCATGGGCAGTGAAGTCTAAGATGTGCCATGCTCTCCGCTGATTTTCTGGCCTGAAGTATTTTAACTCAACAAGGGGTGCAGACACATAAGCAATTTCTTCAGCTAAACTGGACTTATTCACACTACTAAAATTATCCCCTACATACTAAATTAGGGCTGAAATTCTTTGCCTTGAAAGAGAGTTCAGAGCCTTATCTAGTGCACATAAAACCCCATGGTTTCAATAAAGCTTTTCCCATATTGAGCAGTTAAAGAACTGACCCTCAGGCAGCACTGTTTAAAATTCTTCATACAATTTAAAAAAAAAGGCATAGACCAATTAAAGTTGTGAATTTGCATTATGAAAATAATAAAAATTCTAGTTCTGTAAAGAAGCCAGCTGGTTAGGTATCTGAGTCTCACAAAAACTTAACAAATGTCATTACTCCAAGTTAAAAATTTCACTCTTAAAATCACCCGAGTTCATCAGTTCCATGGCATTTAATATAAATGGTACAACACAACAGATTTGGCACATTCTTTATTGCATGCTAAGACTGGAATGAGAAACAAGGTAAAACAAACCTTGAGGGTAAGAGGGAAAGAAAGACAGATTTTGAAGTTTGCACTGGAGGATAAAGAAGAATGGCATAGAGAAGAAGGAAGTGAATGGAGAGATTTAAATTCAAAAGGTAAAGCTGACCCAGTCAAGGATTCTTCACCCAAAACAGAATGCATTCCTCCTGTCAGACTGAAAAGGTGCTGATTTGATTCCATCTGGCCTCAAAGGCCATGGGAGTTAAGGATTTGTCATCTCTTATACACAGAATTGTGTCAAGTAAGCTCGGACCCCCAGGGCTGTTCAGGGATCTCTGTGTGCATGTGCGTTCAGACACTTTGCTGCTTTGCTCACATTTATGCAAGGCCTAGGGAGCAGCTGAATATTTCATATTGCCTGAAGAGGATTCTGATCACCTTTTTCTCTTTTTAGACCACAGTAAATTGCATCTCTATCCATTTTACTGATTTTTTTCCTTTTCCCGGGGGATTGGTGTGAATCTGAGGTTCATTTATGTATTGCTTTTGCTGGATTAGTCCCTGCCTTTGCTTGCTTCTTGGTCAGTACTTTGTTCCTGTCTGTAAGGAAATCTCAGTTACTATGATTTGGCACAAACCTAATGGCAGGAAAAGTACTGTGAAAGAAAGTACTGAATTTTGATACCTCTGACAATGAATCATGACCTCACTGAATGAGTCAGTCATAAAGTCTGGTTGTCAAGGATACAGATGCTATTTACATGCAGACAATCTGGTAATTCACAATCACAGGAATCAGATGCTGGACTCTTCAATAGGAATGTATCAAATTATTAGAATTTACACACACTTTTAACATTGAAAAATGCTTTACAACCTATTGATGGCTTTTCAAACTGGTTTTGAATACAGCTGATACTAAATCAGCAGATAGATAAATCATGAATTTTATAAATTCCTCATTGGGAACTTGTGTTCTGTGTTTTGCTGTGTCCTCCCTGGGAATGTCCTCCATACAAGGATGACTTTGTGATATTGCTTACAGAAGTTTAAACAGCTTCTTTTCCATTACCGTAATACATCATTTCAGCTCTGCCTCAGACATGACCCATTTCATATCTTTGTGTTCCACTCCCTGAGCTAACCCATGCTGTCCAAGCACTTCTGCTCTAATCTGCAGCACTTCTGGCATTCTGCAGCCTTGCACCCTTTAATGCCAACGCAGGAAGAGCTGCAGTGAGAGGAGTGAGGGCTCAAGAGGGTTAAACAAAACCCCTCGTTTGAGTGAACATTGGAGCCAGTCAGATGTTTCTGTCCTGTTACACAGGAAGCACCATGGGCTTTTTATAGGGGTGTTCTTGCAGGCACGAGGCCTCTCATTAAACACTGGCACAGGAGCTGAAGGAAAAGAAGTTGAAGAATCCTTCAGAGGACAAATAATGACCTTTGAAAAGCACAAGGCAGGGGCAGTCTGTCAGCTTAGTGCCATACAGCAGTGGCAGTAAGCAGGGGACTAAAGTAATCCCTGGGACCATGGGCACCAAACTAGGCAGGTCAGGGATTTGAGTCCCACATCCAAATTAGGGTTGCTGGCTACTCCAACTCAAGTCTCTTCCACTTAGGTGGTTTAGAATATTACATTAAAATCTCTGTAATGGCATTCTTATGAAGTATATGAACCTTTCTGAGGAAATTGGTTCTTTTATTAAACCATTTATTTCTGATAAAACACACTTTAAAAAATAAAGTTTCCAGACATTTCTAATCATGGCATAAGTTACACATGTGGTGGATATTTGCAGTGTGCTTTGGGTCATATTTAAGCTTCTAAAAAAGCCTATTGAGATGGCATTAAAGTGACATATATAGGTGGCTTTACTGTGAAGATTGGCCAAATGTTTAACTCCTATTGATTCAATGAGAAGAGTCTGGTTGCCTAAGTAAGGAGTCCAGTTTCTTAGCAGAAAAGCTTCCTGTTTACAAAATACCACTTGTTTACCTAAACTGTGAAGCACTCATGGGCTTAATTAAGGATATCTGTTCAGTGCCTTGGAAAAATTAATTTCTTTAAGCTTAAATTTAAGCTTAATTTATTCTTATTTCTTGCCCTTCAGCCTGGAAAGCAGGTATATAATTATACAGGATATCCTTTGCTCTCTGATTCTGGAAGGGCTGAAGCAGAGCAAGAAATTATCAAGATGTCTCTTTGGGTGAAATAATGGAAGAGATTGTGGTTAAGGAAACATT